TATTAAACACGGACACACGCTTCCAAGTACAACGGCGTTAGTGTAACGATTGTTCGACTACGTCCAAGGAGCGTCGACAATACACCGGAAAACTCTCGCAAAAGAATGGGAAGCGGGTGGAGGGGTTTTTTTTTTTTTTTTTTTTTTTTTTTTTTTTTTTTTTTTTTTTTTTTTTTTTGTTAAGAGAATAGGATAAAAAGTGCGCTTAAGCGAAATGCGTGACTCGGGCGATGAATGAGAGGCCACGTGCAGAGAGGTACGCGAGCTTTTACGCGCACATAAAGCGTAATTCAGAGACGGTGAGGTACAATGACAACGGGTATCGGAATCGGACATGCACGGTTGAGCTGTGCACTTCCGGTCCCACGACCTTGAGCGCGTTCACCGGGTTATGCTCGCGTACTGTACCTCTTTTTATGCGCGTAGTGGTGAGTGGCTGTTACTTTCCCCTTCGTGTTTATCGTTTGGCGAGCCGACGCCGTTGTCCTCGTCCTTCTCCTCCTTCGCGTCCCGATAGTTGCAATTATTCGCGAAAATCACTCGCCACGCACCGCCACGAGCTTGCAACGACAATCGATCGAACGAGCACCCCAAGACGCCTTTGCGCCATAAGAAGTAAGTAAGCCGAGATAACGGCTCGTTCATGCGTCCCGCTTGTCGAGTGAAGACGAAGAGGCGAGGAGATTGGTGAGAAGAGCAGACTACCGATGGACTAACGAAGGACAAAGCTGGGAAATTCTTTTGTTTGAGGAACATATATTATCGGACTGTGAATTCCAGTTTCGATTCGAAGAGTATATGGGCATGTAGTGCTGATACACTCGTCTTAAATCATTGGTCGACCCTACCGATAAGACCGTAACGAGAAAATTATTCATTTGAACAAGTCAATTACTTTCCATTGGCATATTAAATGCAACCAAGTACGAACTTACGATCAAAGCTCAATGATTTCGTCAATAAAATTAATCGATACTGAAACATCATGAGCTCTTAATTTGATTCTTATCCATCATGAAATTTCTGTATCTTCACCCCCCCCCCGCCATTACTGTATATGTAAGGGCCTCTAAGGGATGTATGCGGGCGCCCTTAAATTTACGTAAATTGAATGAAAAAAAGAATACAATTGTCATTAAACAATTATCTACGGATAATATAATGGGTATAAGCTTCCATTAAAGCTTATAATCTTTGCAGATTATTAACATTTTTCATTATTTCATTCAATAGCACACGATAAAACGAATAAATCTTTCATTTTTATTACGCCTTGATAGGCCGCGTGCTTAAAAATGTCGATAAATTTAAAAAATAATAATTAGGAGTTAGATAGTTTTCCCAAACGATAAAATATTATGCTATTTATTATTCTTTTACCGAACATTATCTTCGATGATAAAAATATCACGATAAGAATGAAAAAACGATATTGTACATGTAACGATATATACATGTACAGCTGTGCATGTAATATTTATCGACGTAAATAAAAATATGTAAAACTTATCAAACATACAATACCAGAAGCAATGGAAAAGACATAAAAAATTTTTAGTTTAGTCAAGAGTCTGTGCTACCATAAACACTTTTCGTGATTGGAAACGAACCACTTGAGTTTTCTTTTCAAGAAGAATCCTAACGCATCCTCTCATATTCTATGTTATTCTATATGTCTGACTCAAGAACCTTAGATGCGCAATTAAAGGCAAAAATGTACTAAGTGAAAAGGATATTGCAGCTATGTCTGTCCTGAAAATTCCAAATTTACAATGTGAGCACCAGATGAATCTCGAGTGGCTTCAACGGGAAGTAGTAGTAGCGAAACTACTAAAACATCAGGAACATTCCTTCAACGTCTAAATAATAATAATAATAATAATAATAATAATATACAACAACAACAAAATAATCAATCATTACGATTCCCGATTTGCTATTGAACGATGTTTTGGTATCTATTATTATGTCTTTCCAAAGTTTAATTAATTTAATTTATCGTTACATACAAAATTTCACTCTTATTCGTGTGAAAAGCCAACTCTAAAGCCTTAGGTAACCGACACTCGCTTTCAACTTCTTGCCAATGCAATAAAAAGCAATGTCTAGTGAAATTGGTAAAGTACTACGACTGGAGAAGTTTTGATAGAATGATGAAACTGCGTGAAAGGAAAAGAAGAGAAAAATAAGAAAAACTTGATCCGAAGACAAATGTTGTGAAGAAATTGCGTGTTAAATTTAAGGTAAGAACGTAAAAGTACTTTCACGAGTTTATATCTTTATTTGTTTGTTTGTGTGCGCAATGTGTGCGTATGTGCGCGCGTGCGTGTGTACGTATATATATATATATATATATAGCATTTGAAATATTCGCGTTTAATTTTAACTATATACTTTCGCATTCATAAGTATTTTGACTACTAAAAAAAAATGACGGTAGGCCGGTTTATTGTTAGTCAAGGACGCAGTGTAAATACAATGTCTGTAGCTCGTTTAGTAAAAAAAAAAAAAAATATACGATACAGTATAGTCAAATTTAATATAAAAACATTCCGTAACGTATATTTGAAATACATAAACGTTGGAATTGATCGGAAAAGTTTTATTTCGCAGTTTTAAACAATCTTGTACAATAAAAAATGTATTTTATTGCTTATATATTTAAGGAAGCAAATTAAATTTTCACCGTATAAAATTTATTTACTAATATAATTTAAACACTCGTGTTTATTATAATGAGTACTAAATAAGTCTCTAAGCATTGCTTTCTTAAAAATCTTTTGTAATCGACGATATCGACAAGAACGCTCTTTCGAATTGTTTATCTACCGATTATATATTAATTAACAACTAATAACTGCCGTTTGATGCAATCATCACTTTTATTTTGTATATCAATGCATTAATTACTCATTACGGGCAAAATCATATTATATGACTCCATCCAAATACTACCTAGAACTTTCAAAGAATCTCTTGCAACATTATAAATTATACCTAACAACTATAAAATTGTACATAATTCCGTAATAAATGACGATAGCGACGCTGCAAAAAAAAAAAAAAAAAAAATCATTGAAAAATATTCTTTCAAATTATATCGAATGTTAGGAAATATTAGCATAATTATGTTTTATATCGACGAATCGTAAAAGGAATAAAATGTTTAAAAAATTTCTATAAGCCTTGGGTGGGAATAAAAATAGACGAACAAGAATCTAAGCAGTTAATTTAATATCGTTAAAAAAAAAAAAAACTTTAAAATTGATTTTCTTATGCTTCACGCTAAAATAATCTCCCGATGCTCTTTTCACGTTCTACATAAAAACAGGGCAATTCATTCTCACTGGTAATTCAAATTACATTTTATTTAATAATAATATCCTGATTTAATTACTATCATAAATTGATCTCTACCACCGAGATTAAATTCTTCGTTACAAATTATTTACCAATCCAATTACTTGATTATCTGTCTTTTCAAACATTAAACGAGCCAATGCGATTACGCGTCTGTCGATGTCGCTCCGAAATCTAGATTTTAAAAATCAATAATCACTTCAGAACGTAGGACTTGCCGAGATTTCAATTATCAGTAACATATTGCCAGGATAATAGTATCCCTTTAAAAACATTTCGAGCCCGATACTTAAACGTTAAATGTATCGTCGACTTTTTATTTTGCCAAATAGCGGATATTAATCCACCCATTGTCACGACATCTTCATTATACTTATTGTTCCCCTATCCGTAATATTCGGAAGTCCAACGTAAAACTACTCCGCTTTACGATTCTTCTCACAGGCTCAACTTTCATTCTTATTTAATAACGATACAATTTAATGGATAACTTCACCGAGACTAAAATCTCGAAATTCGACGATAAAAAAATGGTTAAGAGACAGTGGTGGACTGCATCGGTGACTTCCGAAGGAACGTTGGAGCTATTATTACCGCGCTTGCCAAATCCTTGCCCTTAGCGTAATTCCCTCGTTATAGCCGGACTTCCACCCAAAAGCTCACGCGATTCTCAAATAAAAGCGTAAAAGTATCTTTATCGCGTAAGATCGAGGGGAAGGGGGCAATCGACCGGTCATTCAGGACCGGTAACACGAACCGAGTCTCCTCCTACTTGTTGCTGGAAGGCGGCGGTGGCGGCTCGTACGCGCTCCACGATGCCCGAGCACCAAAATCCACAAAAGGCGCGCAAATGCCAATGGTAGTAGTAAGCCCTTCGCGCTTACTCGTCCCCTGACGGTCCCAAGGTCCATCGTCGCCGACAACGAGGAGAACCGAGGAAACTCGACCCCCTCGGCTGAGCCGCACCGCGGATGCACGTTGGAACACGTGCCACTCTCTATCCCCTGATCGCTTACATAACTGCCCCGTCTTCTTCTGCTTCGCGCGATCCCCCCTCACCCCACTCACCAATCACAAACCATCAAGATCCAGACCCAGTGGTCTATATAACATACAATGTGATTTAGCAGTTGCGCGACTCCTCGCCATCAATTGGACTCCGCGAATATTGTCCCTAAGACTCGGAGATCTTGCACTCGCTTTATTCCCTCCCAATACAAAAACAAGGAAAAACAACAGAAAACACGGCAAAAAGTCAGGCAGCGTGTTTTGTTACGCTTCGCGTGCGGCTTTCCCCCGATAAAATGTGCGCGAGACACGTGTGCGCGTATACGGCGCCGCAGCGAAATACGTTTTCGCGACTCGCTCGTTACGTAAGCGCCCGGGGATATCCTCGCACGGGAGGGCAGACGACGAGGCCGCTAGATAAATTCGCTACTCCGGAGTAAGCGCTGCCTTCGCCGTAAACGCCTGAATGGCCGGTGGGTCCGGTGGGGCTTACGGCCGACGAGGATTAGCCAAAGGCTAAGTCAACCGCCGGAGGTGATGAGTCCTCTATCGATGTCAACAACAAACGCCACACACTCGCGCAACCACACACGTACAAAGGAAAATTGACGATTCACAGGGCGCGATTATACCTCGGGACGTTGTTAGTCTTGAAGCTGACCATCGCTCGCTCGTCCACTGCCCCGGGAGCTCCTCTCGGCCAGCATTCACCACGTCCCTGCCATTGCACGACGAGTCGTTACACGTCAAAGCCGGACGCATCCACACGAACGCGCGTTTCCGCACTGACTGGCCGTCCCTCACGCACACGTCCTTCCTCTGGCCGTCCCTGAGCCCCGTCTCCCGCCCCCCGACCACCGTCGTTGTCGTCGTCGTCGTCGTCGTCGCCGCCGCCGCCGCCGCCGCCGCTGCCGCCGCCGCTGCCGCCGCCGCCGCCACCGCCCCTCCCCGAGCCGCCGATCGGTGCGCCGCGGCGCAGCCCAAAGGACGCCTCGCGTCGGAATTCGTGCACCGGCGCGGCGCCGCGCCCGATCCTTCCTTTCCCCATTTCTTCTTCCTCCGACTGCTTCGTCCACGAGCGCCTTTTACTCGCTCCTCGGCCATTGTAAGCGAGCGCGGCCAACTTCTCGCGATGCAGCTGCTGCGATCGCCAAGGGGAGCAAATCACGAATGGAAAAATGAGAAAAGCATGCTGGCGCTGACTCGGAACGCTGACCGCCCGAAATATAAAATTGGCCTTGAAACGCGGCGGGTTAAAAGAAAAAGGAGGGCGGATGGGGTGGGAGGGAGTAAAGGGAGGCCGTCCGATTGCCAGTCGCTCAACCCCGTTATACGGAACACGAGGCTAATTGATCGGGCGACAGAATTTATCGCGGACCTGGAGGATTTTTAACAATTATTTTTAAGTCTGCAACGAGTAAAGCTAAATTAATTATGGAAGAAAATAAGATTTCATGCTCATGGTTATGGTATCCAATTGGGCGAGTGAATTCTCGCTCGCTTCTAAACTATCCTATTACGGTGATCCAGAAGGGAGAATGGAAGAAGGCCCCGTCGCCGCGGTCCAACCATTCTTTATTTTCGAGAGAACGTCGGCGCAATTATATAGTGGAATAGTGGAATAATCGTTGTAGAATAAAGGTTGGAGTGTTGTCGGCTGCTCCCTTGTTACGGAACGCTCCGAGCTGCGGCTCTCGTGTCCCTAAAAAGCACCTGACGGCAGCCTCGACGTAAACGAATGAATGCAAAAGGCACAGGTAGAACGGATCCTCCCCCTCCCCCGCCCCGACCGCTCTCGCCGCCACACCTTTATCCCATCCTCGACATACACACGCACGCAAACGCAAACACGCGCGTATAGCACCGCCCGCCGGCCACTCAGTCAGCCAGTCAGTCAGTTCACCACTTCGGATCCTTCCGAAACTCACCTTTCTCTAGGCCATCCGCTACCGCCTTCGTGTCGCCGAAGAAGCTTTTTCGGTCCCCACTAACCCTCGGCTCTGTGCATTTATCAGGAATCTCGTAATTTAGAATCGTGCTCTTCTAGCAGATTACAATTTCAAATGGTCGGTTTAAGCCGTAGGGTTCTTCTCCCCCCCCCCCCCC